CTCTCCTCCTTGTGCTGCTTCAATTCCTTCCTCCGCCAGGCGAGCAAGTTCTTCCCGGAAACCAACGTCTCCGCCATGACTTGTTTCACAGCAGGTAGCACGGGGAAGGCTGCTGGGTCCAGCAACCTCGCTGCTCTCCAGTGGTTGCAAGGGCTGCTGGGGGCCAGGGCGGGAAACTGAGGCACAGGGAGGCTGAGCGAGAGGGCATGCAGGCAGCCAAGGGTAGAGCCTGGGACTTGTGCAGCCTAGGCCTGGGGTCTAGACATCCTGTTCGTCTAAATCCCCCCATTTGGCACCTGCCTCGGTGACTGGGCAGATGATGGGGCAGATGATGGCTGGTGGGGGGGGGAGGGGAGGAATGGACAGTGGGCTGTGTACAGCTGGATGGATTGGTGGAGGGGTGGAGCTGGGTGAATGGGGTGCACAGCTGGACAGATAAAGGGGCGAGTTGGGGGGATGGGTAGGAGGACTAGCCCGTAGGGGCCTATCTCCACAGACTGTCTCACCCAAGGAGAAGAGAAGCTTGGGGTGAAAGTAACTTCCATTGCTTACAGGTACTGTCCTATTGCAAGCCCCCTGGGGGTGCACTCAGGGCTGGGGGTTGTGATAGGACAGTACCTGTAGGAATGTAAGTGTGGGGTGGAGTGGGGGGCACAGGGCAAGGTGGGACTAGCCCGTAGGGGCCTATCTCCACAGACTGTCTCACCCAAGGAGAAGAGAAGCTTGGGGTGAAAGTAACTTCCATTGCTTACAGGTACTGTCCTATTGCAAGCCCCCTGGGGGTGCACTCAGGGCTGGGGGTTGTGATAGGACAGTACCTGTAGGAATGTAAGTGTGGGGTGGAGTGGGGGGCACAGGGCAAGGTGCTGGAGCTCCTGGTACCAATCTCAGGGTGGGGGCATCACCCCCTGCCCTTCCTGGGGGGGGTGCATCCCCAGCTGGCTCTTACTGTAACAGCACACCGGGAGCCCCGCCTCTGCCCAAAAGCACCAGCACCCCCTGGTGGCAGCGGAAGGCACATGCCCCTCAGACTCTCCCTTTGCTCCGCAGGGGCTTTAGGGCTTTTGGGCTCCGTGACATTCCTCGTGTTTGAGATCCACGTGCCCCCGCACCCCGAGATCAAGCA